AGGCAACATTGGTGTTTCTGGGGCGTTGAAAATCATGGCTGCTATTTCACACTGCAAAATATAGTGTTGGCTACAGAGCAGCTGCTTGATCATGTCATAAGTTAACCAATCTCTTAAATAATTAATAACTTTTTTCTGTCTCGTTTTACATAGAAACGATTTTCAGCAAAGTTGTAGCTGAGAAAATTTTCTATAAGAATGGCTATCGAACTGTTTAGCAGCTCAATATGGAAAAAGAATAGAAGGCAATGAACAAAAAGTTGCGATTTCCCATAGTAATTTACATGTAAACTTCAAATGGCTTGTGCGAAGTCTGTTTCTAACCAAATGAGTTGTAACTTTGGGAGACTAATCAGGACCCGATTTGAAACCATTTAAGCACTGTGGAGCGAAAAAGTCAAATTTTGCATCAGTCTATTGGTCACCCTATATGAAAAAGCATGAAAAACGAATAGAGTCAATCCAAAAGCATGCACTACGTAAGTTAGGTTGGACGGCTTTTCCTCTCCCGTCATATGAAGCACGTTGCTTGCTGATCAGCATTCAAACATTGAAAGAACGTCGGGATTACGCAAAAATTTCTTTATTAAACAATATCATTTCGCAATGCATTGACTCAGCTGATCTATTGACAAGTATAATTTGCATGCTTCTTCCCGACAATTACGCAATCGACAGTTGTTCGCAGTAGATCGCCATCCGACCAATTACGCTAAATTTGGACCTGTAAATCAGATGATGACTGTTTATAATCATCATTGTGAAATGATTGACCTAAATATGCCCTCAACAGAATTAAAAATATATTTCCCTGCGAAGTCATAGAACATAAGTCCTAATGTTAATATGTAGTCTACGGTTGGATTTATTAACGAATAAATAAATAAATAAATAAATAAATAAATAAAAACAAAACACAGGCATTGAACATTTTTCAAGATTTCAAAAAATCTGTGATTTTCGTTAGGAAAAGTGACACATCGGTAATTTTGAACCTTTCGTATGTGAATCGGTAAGGCCATTGAAATTCACTCACCAAATCTGTAACATCCTCGAATTAGACCCACCAAACGAAAGCCTTCCATATGAGTATCGAAATATTTTATCAGAGGTTTGGTTTTGACGTAGGACTACGTCTGTGATTTCTATATGAGGGTACACTTTGTGAAAACCGACAATGGAACATGTAACAAAATTATGAAAGATTTTGAACGTTAATAACTCAGCTGCGCCTGGACCAATTTCAATAATGTTATCACCAATCGATGAGATATATTTCTACAAATCTGTTAAAATTAAGACTTTTTCATTTTTCAAAATGTCACTGTTGAAAATTGCACAAATGTGCAACTTTTGCTATGATAATTAAAATTATGACCTGTTGCCTGCGAAAAGCGATTTCACTAACATAGATTTCAAAGTTGAATTCCATGCGATCTCACCAAACGGTGTTTATTAAATCACCGCGTGGTTAGTTGGTAATATTCTCCAGTATACAACGAAAAACTCCCCACAAGCAGCTAGCTATCAAGGCTGGCCTCAACCACTGATCGGATTCAGTTCCAATCACCGTGTGTGGTGGTGTCCGGTCGTGGGCAACAGCTGCAGCAGTAGCAGTGCTTTCGGCGCGTGGCGTTGAACATTGTTCTCCATTACACGACGAAAGGCTGCCTTCAAGCAGCAAGCTACAGCCCACATGAGCATCCATAGAAGGAGGAAGAAACCGCACCGCTATTGATCGGAATCAGTAGCTCTTCGTGAGTCACTGTGGGCCATCTATGCCAAGCGCGTCCCCTCATTCCAAACAACATACCACCAGCCTCATCTGTGTTTAACACCCTAATAGTTCATCATTACTCAACGATCACGACCACCATAAATTTCAAAAAGAGTATTTCATCAATCGGATGTCAGTTCCCATATCAAGATAGAGCTGGAATTAGGGCGTAACAGCTTCTGACTTCATTCGATGATGTCTTGAGAGTCAAGCATCGCCCACACAAATCACCATCAGGTAGGGTAAGACTTCCTCTACCCGACGGTAATGTTAATTTGGAATTCCTTTACTATCCATTTGGCAAGCTTGTGAGTGGGAGATCCTTCAACCGAGATAATCTCATTTCGAATCCTGGTTTGTGAATCTTTGGTAAACCTTTGATCCTAGGTAGAATAGGGTTTGAAACTTTCAATTGATTCGTAGTGTTGCCAATAAACGCCTTGCACTCTTTCAACGTTTTATCCACATGTTTAACCATAGATGGGAGGGGGTAAATCCTCAACTGTCCGTATGGGCCATTAGTAATTTTTTCCGTCATTCCATTGTCATAGTACTCTTTGTACAAAATCACTACTGCATTTCCTTTGTCCGCTTTTGTATAGAATACCAGCTTTGTTTTTAGTTCTTATAGAACTCGAATTTCCTCTTTTTCCGTTTTACTAAGTGAATGTCCCTTTCCGTTTTGTATTGTCTCTGAAATAATATTCCTGGCAGCCTAGTGTAATTGAATAGACAGTATGTGAGTGATTGCAGTCTTCATGTCAACGATGGCCTCTTCCACTTCAGGTTTTGAGGAGATCGCATATCCTAATCCCTTGTTGAGAAGTGTCAATTGTTCTTCTGAGAACCTTCGACGGATTGTACCACAGCTGTGTTAACTGAACTGTGTGATTTCTGGTCTCTCTGCTGTGTTGTGTTATTCAAATAGTATTATGGTGACCTCAGTTTGTTGTTATGTAACTTTCTTTTCCTTTTTTCCTCACAGGAATAACATTCCATCGACTTTGTTTCCAACTTCGAGTAGAGACTCTGAATGCTCGCTTTTATAAATTCTGACTCCATCTTACGAACTACTTTTAAGGGAGTTTGTGTCTTAACCCTAATCTTATGACTGATAGATGTTAAATTTAATTTTCGGCATTTTTTTAAGAAACGCTGTCTTTCCTTAAACCCATGGATTTCTTTAGTGATATGTACCTATTAGGTTCTGTAATCATTTTTTTTTCAAATATGATCGAAAAATGAAAACGATATTTTATAATTACATATTGTAATCGACTTCAGGCGCTGCAATGCAATGTGTTTGACCCAAAAAGGCGGCCAAAAGTTCGATTACCAAATTTGTGTGAATCTCTTGATGTTTTGTTGTTTTTGCAACAACATATTGTAACCATCATATAAGTTATACGCTAAACCTGATTATTGCTTTGCCAACCCCCTCACCTGTGATTAGTAGAAGCTCTTGAGTAATCACTAGGTTGCCTCGTAACGTGGGTAGATAACCTATTCGTGGTACGTTACGGGATGTAAGTTCTACCTCCGATTCCTAATCCTGACTACTTCAAACTAGAAGAACATTATTTTTCAGTAATCAAAGAAACACATCTCAGTCCTTGTTACTTTTTATGCCTTGTTGATAGTGAAAAGACTCGGCTTTGCCAACCGAGGATGATCTTGAAACAAGGAAAAAATGAGTTAGATAGTCTTCATCTATGTGATTTCTAATCTTCTATTCGTTGTTTGAAGTGATTAAGACTAGGGTTCTGATGCATGGTCATTATCGGTGTCATTCTTTAATTTTGTTGCTTAGAAATCCACTTTTGACTGACAAAGGGGCGCACATTTAGAGGGTGTTCCAACACTCCGAAGGGTATAAATAGCAAAAGATCTTTCAATTAGAATCGATTCCTTGTGATAAATGCAAGAATGACAACTGTAAAAAATCTAATACTTCATCATTTCTTAATAGTTATGGAGTAATACGACATGCACTAAACTACTACAATAGATCAAATTACTGGTCGCAGTGGTTTTAGGTCCCGAACAGCAGCATATCATATAAATTGAATAAGATAAATAATAACAAATTGAGTAAAATTTGAATTGCACTTTTAAATGGATTATTTTTGAATACTTTTTCTAAGCATAATTCAACAAAAACACGCATTTCTCGTAAACATTGAATCAATTTCAACAAAAAAAAAATAACTATCGATTTGGAGTTTTAGCCAACTTTTTGGGTCAAATACACCAAAGTGTGCATTGCAGCGTTGCAATCCCAACAAACAATTTAAGCTGCAAACTAGCTTATACAGGCAAAAATTAGCTGTATAAGCTAATTTTTGGCTGTATAAGATAATCTGCAGCCAAAATTGTTTATTGGTATGCTCTGTACCATAATCGTAATAACACAGCATTTATATGAATAAAACATCAGCGAATCGTACCACTCTCCAGGAATGTAGCACCAGTTTTCCTTGGGTGATTGAACTGAACCGAAAACGTGAGCGAGATAAAGGCCAAATCGTTACGATCAGATACTTTATGCAAATAAGTTGGATCAGTCGAGACGCTTATCGTGTCAAGCAAAATCAGATACCGCATAGACGAGGAAAGGATTACAATCTTAAATGATAATAAAATTTGGAACCGTTAAATCAATCGAACATTTGGAAGCAAAACGTGCAGAACCGTTCCTCTGTTTGGATGGACCAGTTAACGACCAATGAAACTACCAGACGGCCCGCGATGATGGAAAAGCAAAAGAGAGCAAACAGCCAGCAGAGAGCAGTGCGAGAATAATTAAATACCTTGTTGTTAAGTTTGGTGTTTCAGCCGGAGTGTGTTTTGATTTTAAACAGTTTTTACGGAACATGTCTATCTTCAATGACTTATCATTATTCGTTTTTGATATATTTCTACTGAACAAAATGACGAATCAATGTGTTATATAGCCGATTCGTATAATGGTGTTCATGAGTATGAGCATCAACCAAATTGACCAATCCGATTCGTATAATGATGGTCAGTGGAAAAAGAATTTTAAAGCATCATCCAAGTCATGCTAATGTTCCCGATTTCCTCCACCGAACGGTACAAACATCAAACATTGAGCAACAACAACAAAATCCGTAATTTTGGAGCGAGTTTTCGATACTCTCTTTCACGCATGAGCTTTTGAAGTGCAACCACACAGCTGACAGACGGTTTGAGTTGCCCGTCATGCAGAGCTCCTTCAGTATCGAAAGTAAACTCACGTAGGCAGCTCGTGGACGTGTTGATGTTCATTTCATTGTAGTTTTTGGTGACAAGTTCAAGTTTCGAACCGTTGCAGATTTGTGATTAGCATTTGTACGTGCTCCACGATGAAGTTTAACATTCAGGACACAGGATGACCTGATTCTTGCAAAGGAAGGTCTCAGAATTGACTTCAACGTAAGAATGCAGCTTTCGGAGTAAAAAAAAGTAAAAGTCCACAAAATTACGCAACAACGCATTGATCTCACTTGACGAGAGTGTCCTGAGTGCAGATAAATATACTGCAAATGTGCTGCACATGAGAAGAGAAGAAAGTGCAACTTGAGTGAACTGGGTCGAATGATTTCCATAGGAGGGAGTGGGGTTTCACAAACCAAAACAGTGATTAAAAATCATGAGTGTGTTTGGCAACGTGTTTGTGGCGGCAAAATGGTAATTCTATGGAGGATCGAGCTACCTCGATTGATTTAAGTGCAGTAGCAACGGTGGAATACGATTTTCAAGTCGACAAGCAAAACCAAATTTGAACCATCTACCCGTTGGTTAGTGGAGTGCGAGTTGTACCAAGCGTGCTAGAAAAGTAAGACGGCAAGGTGATCGTGCCGAGTTTGCCGTGATAAGTGTATTGAGTGTCTTTTTGCATCATGTTGGCTCGCTTTGTTCAACACCACTACCATCAACAATCATCAACAGCAATCCATGTTCGTCCAATGCGCTGTGATGCACATATTTGAATAGCTGAGAACCAGCAGCAAGCCATACATAGTATTAGAGTGATGGAAGTGTCGTCAATATCGGCATCAGAGACACCTGTATTGAATAAGGTAGCCAAATTTTCTACGTTAAATAATTACTTATGCATTCAAACTTGAGATTTCTTTAAAGTGGTACTAATGAATTAAACGAATTGCTTCACCATCAACAAGATTTAGTAATTCAAATGGGAGATGCACTGCTTTTTGTAAACCTTCTGGATCAATTTCGATACGATTATGACCTCTAGAAATCATTGGACAATCCAATCTCCTCTACTATATATTGAACAGAATAATAGAGGCACAATGAGCTGTATTGTAACCATACAATGGAATTTATTGTATTTACAATAAATAGTATTGTTCAACACGATAAAAATAACCATATAATGTATTGTTTACACAATAGAATCAATGGTAAATGAGGAAATCTACAATAGAACGAGGGGGTTGTTATGTATCTTAACCATTCGAAAAATGACTTTTTCCCGAACAAACTTGAGACATTTACCATTAATTGCAATGTTGTTCTATTGTTGAAAATTCTTACTATATGGGACGTTATGAACATGTACTGTAATAACAATATGTTAAAATTCCTTGTACAATATAAGTACAATAAGACCGATTTTTGGCTTTAATATTTTATCAAATGGTAATTGTGTGGTTATTTTTATCCAGGCATCGAGCTACGGAGGATGTCGAGCTAAAGGGACAATTTATGAAATTGATATGGCAAAAGTGATCCCTCCCATTGGCTAGTTTTTGCACCTTGTTACTGGTGGGTGGGCTTAATTTCATATAGTGGAGTGTTGGAGACGGTAGGTTTATGGCCGGCGTTGCTGGTAGAATAGAGAATGGCGCCATGGGCAGGCGATGGGGATTACTAAGCTTCCCCTCTCTGATGAACCACTGCATGAGAAAACCAAAGATCTAGTCCAGCAGTGATAGTATTACACTTGTTAATCATTTGTTTGAGAGCTGCGTCGTAGTACGCTTACGTATAGGCACTGACGTTGGGTGCGATACTGGCGGGTTTTGCCGCAAATCACTCTTATTTTATTAATTTTTACGCAGATAGATTTATTTGGGTTTGCAAGGGAATTATACTACTGAAATATTTCAGAGAGTGCGCAACGGTGCTCCTTCTACTTGCGTGACAAGCTTTCATTGTTGTTTTCATTGAGGTATTACTTAGGAAACAATGTTAAACACCATTTTTGTACATGGTATTGTAACTAATCTTATATGTGCTTCATTTTGATTTGGGATAAGTGTTTGAACTATGGCTCGGGATTTCCACTGTGGCGTGCTTCTATTGTGACATACTCACTCATACGTATTTTTGTGGTACGACATAGTGGAAGCGTGTGAGCATGGTTGGAGCATATTACCCTACATAATTTAAAAATCAGCTAGGAAACTAACCTCAAAGTGAAGCATTTTAGTCACTTGAAGGTGTCACCTGGGTCGAACTAAGATATAATAAATAGGTCTAGGTCAAATTCAAAAGTACTTGAAACACGTTTAGTTTTAGATTACAAGCACAAGTGCAGGTACTTAATAAAGCATGGGTTATCATTGATTAGGTGAATTTATTAAATTAGACTAATTAGATATCATAATCGTCAAATGAACTTAAATAAGAAACTTCAGAAAGTATAATAACATTAAGTAGATTAACAAAATAATTAGGATGCGGAGGGTTCGCTTAGGGTGGTAACTAACCTTTAAAGTTGTAGAAAAAATCTTCCTATTTAGTCTTGAAATTCAATTAGAAAACGCGAGCAGACCAATAGCATTGAGCAGATTAACAAGGAGAGGAATAGTTTAGGAAATAAGTAAAAGTAGAGGTATGTGACAATTAATAACTTTTAATCTTTTGTAGGTTTTGTTTTCCCCTGAGTTTATAGTACTCGATTACTATATTATTCTCTCAATACACGAAATCTCTGATATATGCGGTTAAAGCATTTGAGTTAACTTATTTCTTAATGTTCAAGTATTTACATTTGTAAACAGCAGTCAATGCTAATTTATGAACTAAACCCTACGTGTAAAATCGATCTTTCCTTATGTGGTATTTTCGCATCGATGCATTTTTCACTTTTCGCGGCTGTCGGAATCAGTGCGCCTACGTCTACGGAGCTTACGCAGAAGTGATTCGCAATTCGGTAGAGCTAGTCAAACGCTTTTGAGCTTATGTAGTATAGAATTTGTTTGGTACGGTCGCGAAATCTTTAAACGATTGATACGTTCTTTAAATTAACTAATTTGATACAAAGCTCAGTAGTAAATTAGTAGAATATATAGGGAGGAAACCAAAATTAATCAACTTGCCAACATAGGCTATCACATTTATTTTGGTGACACTCTTTAAATGATAATAAGCCTTTTTTGTCTCTCTTCGTTCGAAACGGATTTACTTAATCAAACGGTTTACTACGCGGATGTATCAACGCGCACACGTCACAGCATTTTTTTCCATAACTATCTTGAAACAATACATACGGAATCCAGTGTTCAAGCTGCCAGCATAGGCTAGTCCTTCTGCTGTATTCTCAAAGATAGAAACAAAATTTATTCAAATGGGTCAAGTATTGAAAACTAAACTGTCACGCAGCTCCCGCTTGATACCAATTAAAAAAATAATAAAAAAAAAGTGATCGTAGCAGCCTGGATTTCCATCAAGTTTAGGTGTTGTCCATCATGTACCACGTTGATAGTTTACGGGGGAGGGGTGTGGAGTATTTCCACAATCCATATTAAATTTTAAAAATATATTGGGGCAAGGACCTGGCGTAATTGTTAGGATCCACCTATCACACTAATGGTCACGTGTTCGAATGTCACCCCAAGATTGCCACAAGTTATACTCCATGAGATGAATTCGATCTCCGTCCATTTCATGTAACCTCAGAGTAATCAGCCATGTATAAAAATATATTACAAGGGAGAACGATGGGGACCAAAGTTAGTGCTACATCAAACGTTAATAGTACGTGCAGACTACAGAGTTATAACATGTTATAGCGCTATCTTGATGGTGGTTTCTGTGTTGCAATTATTTGACAACCGTTATAACATGTTGTAACTCTCCAGTCTGTACAGCGTTTAACAAACGTTTAACGTTTACGTTAATTGAAGCACCAACTTTGTACCGCATTTTTCTACATAGCTGGTGACCCTAAAATTCTACGTCATTTATGCATCTTCCCTTAGTAAACATACCGTCGAGTTGGCTCGCCAAAGATTGAAACTCACGTTTGCTACTGACCTGGATAGGATTCCTGCTGTGTTCCGAAACGCTACTAACTCTTTTGGTAAAGCTATTTAATGCCTTGTTCAGACTACAGAGTTATAACATGTTATAGCGCTATCTTGATGGTGGTTGCAGTGTTGCAATTATTTGACAACCGTTATAACATGTTTTAACTCTCCAGTCTGGACAGCGTTTAACTGAGTCATTGCAGGAGAGCAAGTTTCCTGAAGCGTAGGTACATGTTCCTTGTGCACAAAAAAGATGATAAAAGGGATGTTCAGAACTCATCATTATGCTGCTGCTCCAAAGTGTTGGGGATCATCATAAACGAAGCGCTGTTTAACTCTTTCAAAAATTACATTTCCACGGATTAGAATGGATTCGAACCATGGATTTGAGCAGTCGATGCTAGACCTGTGCGCTAATAAAAATATTTTCGGCGGCGGCGTGATATGTTGTTTGCTGCCGGCGGCGGTGGCGTGGCGGCGTCACGCCGTTTGCTTTCGGTGGCGGCGGCGTGGCGGCGTTGGTCGGTGTGAGTTTATTTTTAATGATCTAGAAATAAATACTTTCCAAACCAATCGCACATGGACAAAAAATGCTACCCACATTTGAGTTCCGATTACTCGAAATCGCTAACCGTAGGTCACTCAAAGTATGAGTAAATTTCCCGACACTTTCCCGGGGAAAACTTCTCAAATATGGGGAAAATTTAAGAAAATTGTACTCAAGTTAGAAGTGTACTAGTAGACAGACTAAAACCACAATCAGTTTTCGTCATATTCGAAAAGTTTTCCTCGGAAAAGCGTCGAAAAAAATACTTATTCTATGGGTGACCTACGTTTCGTTTAGGAAAGAATGTCAAGTGCTTCTAAAATTGCAGGGTGTGTGTTACAAGTGCAAAGTGTTACAAGTTTCAACCCTTTTATTAAGTATAAGAAAAGTACGTTATGTAGGAGTGGATAGTATTTAAAAGCAATCTGTTGTATTACGTAATATTGTAATGGGCCCTAGGAGTTCTTTCATTTACTGAGCAGTATACGTTATTAATATGTTGATAGCGATAAATTATATGCTTTAATAACTTTGATACAGATTTGAATCTACACGTATTGAAGTCATATAACTTTGTGTTTGCATTTGAAGATGATGTCTTTCGAATATAGGTAGAATCCCGCACAACTTGTAAGAGATTAAAAAAAAACTCAAATATCAACGTGTTGTCACTTGTTCATCTTTATTTAAATCCGATCCTCGTCAGTAAGCCACTGCTTAGTGTAAAACTTTATGTTTGCAAATGCTGTAAGGTCGGAACAAATCACAAGTTTTTCTTTTGTCACTAGAGGCTCGCACCAGTCGAGGGGGGGGGGGAGGATAAAAAAAAAACAAAAAAAAAACATTTGAAATTTGTTTTACATTATATCTAAACCGTATATTTCAAACGCTAACATTTTTTCTTAGCCTTCGCTTTAGCCTTATACTTCGCTGAAGCCGTGATTTTTTACACTAATGCCACAAATGTTGACTTTATTATGTGTAACACTCGAGCTATCAACAAGACATTTCGCGCATAAGTTTTTGTATCCTTTCAATAATGTAGATGAATAGGATCAAAGCAATTTATTTTTGGGTATTGATAAATTCCGGATAAACCATCAAGCGGAATACCACAAACGTAACAGTTCTTATGAAAAAAAAAAACGTTCTATTTTCGATACTTCCTCCCTACCCAAATACAACTCAGTTTTCTCAACAATTGTTCGTGCTTCAAAAAGTCTAACTAGACGTATGGATTCAGGATGGTCTA